CAAGCACGACCGCGAATTGAGCTCAGGGACCCAGACAGGGCAAAGTAACAATAGAGAAGAAGTCACCGTAGTGAGAAACAACAGAGGCCCCAGACACACCAGACCATCCACACGCTAAGCAGACATAAGCAGCACGACACAGACTAGGAAACAACGCCACTCCCTCGAACCACAGGATGGACTAACCCCAATCAGACAAACACTGCTCATTAGGCAACCTCATAGCGATGTACCCCCACTCCACGAGACCTCTAAGCCCAGCCTAGACTGATCTTAAGCTAAACGACACACAAGGCATAACCCCACATGGCACAACATGCCCACGGCAACGCAAACCCAAAACAAAGAGGCCGCAGGACTGCGGCAGGGATAGCACTCACAATGCCTAGCACGCCATGCACCCACAGACCCACACCCAACACAAAATGAGAGGTGGAGCGGACGCTTCAGCCACAAAGCCACCTAGGAGACAAAGGACCACATACCACGTATAGTACAACCTACTACATACGACACACGGACTCGGAAGGAGACAAGCGTCAGACTAGTCCACCACGGACGAGTTGCCCGACACGCCCACAGGTATAGGACACAGGAACCCCCACTTGTTAGAGGACGTACAACTGCCGGAAACGACCCACGTCCACCAATCGGCCGGGCTAAACGGTCAATTCACCAGGACAATTATCCATTAACTGACAGTTTCACAGAGACTCTACAGATAACACTAACCCACGTAAAACCCACCCAGAACCTGATCAAACCCAGGACCGCACCACACTACACATATGTACACCCTCCCTGCCCACCCCCCCCCATCCATCCACCCCCTGTGGCCGCCCGGACGATGCCAGCCCCGGGATCCAGCGGGTTCGCCCGGGAGGACTTAAGCATAATCTCCTATAACGTGCATGGCCTCAATGTCAGAGAGAAATGCACAAGACTTCTGAGAGACCTGACACAATACAGGGCATCGATAGCGTTTCTCCAAGAAACGCACTTTCAAGAGGGCAGAGCACCGGCTTTGAAAGACCGCAACTTCCGAATGAGATACTTCAGTAACAACCCAGATAGACGCACACAGGGAGTATGCATTCTATTCTCAAACAGAACCCCATACACGGAGCAGTTTACCCTCAGGTGCAACCAAGGCAGATATATTTTCACTAAAGGCACTATCTTAGATCAAACCTACACATTCGCCAACATATATGCCCCGAACACAAAACAATACCACTTCCTCCGGAACACACTGGGCACCTTGATGAAGTTTGCAGAAGGCACCCTCATTGTTAGGGGAAACCTAAACTTGGCACTACACCCAGATCAGGGCTCCACATCTCCACACTGAGCTATGCCACACAACAGACATGCGAACACACTCCGCCTTCTACACCACCACCAATTGGCAGATTGCTGGCGAGCACTGCACCCAACAACCCGAGATTACACTTTCTATTCACAGACACACTCAACGTACACTAGACTGGATTACTTCCTAATGACACACCACAACCTAAACCTGCTTAATGCAGCAGAGATCCTGCCGATGACCTGGTCAGATCATTGCCCGTTCAGAGTGCGGTTGAAATCACCGCTATACAAACCCCGGCAGATGTCATGGAGACTGAACGAATCGATCCTCTCAGACGTGATAGTGACAGACAAGATCAGCAACTCCATACGAGATTACTTCCAAGACAATGAGACGGAAGACGTGACACCACTAACATGCTGGGAAGCACACAAGACGGTAATCAGGGGTCGGATCATTGCACTACGCGCAACCCGCAAGAAGGAGGTGGTACGGGAGGTGCTCGAGCTCAACAGAGACATTGCTACCCTGGAGGCCAGGCACAAACGCACCCTCGACGCATCGACATACAGAGATCTAACAGCCAAATGAAATCAACTCACCACACACCTGAACAGAGCAATTCAACGCTCCTATCAACACTACAGACACATGAACACGGGGATAAATGTGGGAGACTGCTAGCAAACCCTCTGAAACAACATAAAACCCAACTATATATCCCAAAAATCAAAGACACACAGCAACAACTTAGGCACCTCCCGGACCAGATCACAACAGTGTTCCCCGCATATTACCAAGACCTATACCACCTCCGCCGAGACGAACCGGGAGAACCGCAACCGCACAAAATCATTGACATACAGATACCTGGACTCGACACCTATGCCAGAAATACCGGAGGCCAACCAAGAAGCACTAGAGGCCCCCATCACGCCGGAAGAACTGGCACACGCCATTAAGAAGGCAAAAAACAGGCAGGGCACCGGGACCAGATGGGTTGCGTCTTCAATACTACAAAGTGTTCGCACAAGACATCATACCGAAACTACTGAAAGCCCTGAATTACATTCAAGTGGGAGCCCCACCAACCTCCCAGTTCACCTCGGCGAACATCTCTCTGCTTCTAAAGGAGGGTAAAGATCCAACACTGTGCCCAAGCTACCGCCCGATATCGGTGCTGAACACTGACATCAAGCTCCTGGCCAGCATTCTGGCGTTACGCCTGGCGCCTCTACTGCTCACCACAATCCATCCGGACCAAACGGGGTTCATCCCAGGCAGGGAGGTGAGGGACAGCACCATTAGGGCCCTGAACATCATAGCGCACATCAGAACCCAACAGAACCGGACCCTTCTCCTGTCCACAGACGCGGAGAAGGCGTTTGACAGGTTGGACTGGGACATGATGATGGAAACCCTCCACGCCATAGGAATAGGACCGAAATACTGCATTTGGGTGAAGGCGCTATACACCTGCCCAACGGCGTGAATCTGGATCAACGGCGCACTGACAGATCCGTTTCGGATCCATAACGGGACCAGTCAGTGCAAAGAGTAATGACTTTCGTCATTACTCTTTGCACTGACACTGGAGCCATTCCTAAACAGGATCAGATGCAATGCAGACATCCAGGGGCTTATAATCGGAACCACACACCACAAAACGCTAGCGTACGCAGACAACATACTGTTCGTAGTCACGAACCCAGAAACCTCCCTACCAGCAATACAGACAGAATTTGAGGAATACAGATGAATCTCAAACTTCCAAATTAATAATTCAAAATCAGAGATACTGAACCTATCCGTCAATCACACGAACAGACAAACACTTCAGCGACAACACCCATACAGCTGGTGCGACTACCGCATGCGATATCTAGGGGTTTGGCTCACCCCCAACCCGGCAGACCTGTACACACAAAACTACCTCCCCATATTAAAAAAAGCGATGGAGGAACTGCATTGATGGAGCTCCTACTACATCTCATGGCTGGGAAGGATAAATGCAGTCAAGATGACACTACTGCCTAAATTACTCTTTGTGTTCCAAACAGTACCAATACAAGCCCCACAAACATTCTTCAGGGCATTGAAGGCAGAGGTCTGCACGTTTATATGGAAAGGCAGGTCCCCACGCATAGCACATACCCAGTTAATCCTACCCAAACACAGAGGGGGCCTGGCACTCCCCGATTTTGAAAAATACTATTACGCAGCACACCTTACACAAGTCATCAGCTGGTCAGTAGCCAGTGGCACAAAACCTTGGACCCAACTGGAATCCGATACCATCAATTGCGACCTCCGGGCACTGCCGTGGATCTCCGTGGCGGCGTACAGACACAAACGCATCACCAACCCCATTGTGGCGGCAACCATGAGGATCTGGCACAGGCAGGGCACAAAACAATACCTGATGACAGATCCAGGACCGCTGTTACCACTGAGAGGCAACCCAAACTTCCCAGCAGGTGACCTCGGCCCTACAACGGGCCCAGCAGGACGCCCAACAATTCCCCGCATGGCAGACATTCTCGTGCGCCCGTTCGGCATTCGCCAGTTTACTGAACTCTTCCCAGACAGACCACTCACTTTCTCACACACACTGGCGAGAGTGCAAATCTCCCAATACGCCAGATCCATCCCGCAAAAAACATCCCTGCTGAGGGAAACTACACAATTCGAACACCTCTGCACGCGGGACAAAGAAACACCCCGAGAGATCTCACAGATATACGCAATATTGGTCACCAGTAGGTACCTGTTAGCACCGCCCTGCATAAGAAACTGGGAAGAAGACCTTGACGCCATGTCAGAAGCGAACTGGGACAAGAGCATCACCCTCATACAAAAAACACCAAGCTCAGCACATTTGCAAGAAAACTCTTACAAGATACTCACCAGATGGTAAATGACAACGACGGCACTTCACGTCAGGAACCCAGAAATACTAGACACATGCTGGAGATGCGGGGAGGAGACAGGCACATTCATACATATCTGGACATGTTCACGGCTTCGGCCCTTCTGGGGCACAATTAGAGACATAATACACGAAGTAACAGATGAGATGCTCCCACGGTCCCCAGCCGCCTTTCTCCTCCATCACACCAGCATGACCACGCAGACATATACCAGATCCGTAATCCCGTGGTTACTGAACGCAGCCAAAGCGATCATCCCCATCTATTGGAAACAGGCCAACACACCCCCGATAACACGATGGTGGAAGAGGTAGAAGCTACCAGAAAATTTTAAGATATGAAGGCAAACACCCCAAAACACAGAGACGGGTACATCAAAAGCTGGTTTCACTGGACATGATTCACCACATCAAACGCCTTTAGCCAGAGAGGACGGGAGATGGGAAGCCGGAATCGGGAGACCGGGCGGGAGCCGGAAGGGTACGGCGAACCAGGGCGGCGGCAGGGAATGGAGATACTCATCACTCCCCCAACACCCTTTCCTACCCCTCTCACACCAAACCCCATTCACACTCACTAACACACTTCTAAGGACGAACACACACAATACAAGACCGAGAGACCTTAAACACACTAAAAAATTGAATGAATGCACGTCACACACATGCGGTCCATATCGTATACACACCGAAAACAAGCCCGGCTGGCTAGGACGCCTCCACACAACATGACTAACAGGTGACACTATAAGAACAATGCAGTCCTACACAGCGCCACAAGAAACCCAGCCCAAAAATGACCCACAGACAGTCACGGCACAAAGTTGGGCAATACCGCAGTCAGAACGTGAAGGAGAAACACACACAGGAGACACAGACCAAAAGCTTGCCATGCCACACAAGTGCACACATCCAACCACGACCCTCAAAATCAGGCCCAGACCCAAACGGATAAAACAGACACCACACACAGAGGACCCACCAGAACACGACACCACTACAACCAAGCGGAAAAACAACACGGGAACCAAATTACTAGTGGACGAGCCTCATCATGGTATCGCCGAAGGCTGAAACAATAAGCCTCAGCGACGGACATACAAAATCAGCACACTCAAGCACTGAAACCAACACGGGAAACCAAGCGGAAAAACAACACGGGAACCAAATTACTAGTGGACGAGCCTCATCATGGTATCGCCGAAGGCTGAAACAATAAGCCTCAGCGACGGACATACAAAATCAGCACACTCAAGCACTGAAAACCAGGCCTCGACACAGGCTACTACTCACCAGAATCAAGGAATACCCAACACCTAGTACACACAAACCATTGTTGTAATATATACCACACACTGGCGCAACCCAGCTCAGTATACCTCGTAGCCACACTTATTACGAGGACAAATACAATGCACAGATAGACAAGCACAACCTCGAAACACCTAGCTACATAAAGCAATTGATACTTAGATGCACAAGTAGTTTACAGCCACATGGATCAGAGCAAAGCAGGACAAGGTTAAATGTCAGATATATGCCCCACAGCAGAGGCACAAATAGAAAGCCAACAATTTGAATACTACCAGCAGGGAGGCAAGATACAATTCGTGCACTGCTACTGCAACCCCGGTTTAGATACGATGCAACACATGAGCGAAAAGTCACAGGACCCACAGGCACAAAAATTAATATGCATAAGGCAGAAGCACTCAAAACCACACTCGTCTGTTTAACTGCAATAAATGTGCACTACAAGTCGTACAGATGTAAAATACAAGCAATCGAATATGAATATACCTGCTATATCACACATGCAATGACCAACCAGCCTCTGCCTTTTTGTACCTGTTTTTTAACCAAAGGAGTATCTTTTCCCAATTTGGAGGTTTGTTTATTTAGTAAAAAATCTTAATTTTTTTTTTAATACGGCTCTTTCAGAACAGAAATTCCTTTTCTCTCAGAGGCCACGTTAATGTCAAATCCAGATGAGACTGAATGTGATCTTCGGGTATTTTTATAATTACAGCAAAACTACCCTGTTGTCCACTGGCAGCTCTGAATCAGCCGTTTCTCCCCACAGCGGTATATGTAAGCATTAATGCTACCTGGCCAAGTAAAAATATGCAGATGAAAATTATTACAAATCAAACATTACACTTTTCGGTTACGACTCACTGTCTCTTTAAAGAGAATCTTATCAAACCAAAAGAGAGCTTAGTAGCAAGCGTTTCCGATAAGCCTTTCATGTCATTTAATTGCCGGACATGTTAGAGACAGACCTTTGTCAATGAGGCTTCTGCAAACAACGTAACCTTTTCTATAGCTGGGAAACCAGATATAACAAAAAAAAAAGAAAAAAAGCACCGCCTTTGTAACTATTACTAGATAAAAAATAATAAAACAGACTTCACCTTATCACCCAGGAAGATGAAATGGCCTTACAGAGATTTCAGGTTAAAACCTTTAAATTTACTCAAATCACATTTCGTGCGCTAGAAAGCTATATAACTAAGTTCAGCCTTTTTCATCTAAAACCCAATTTTATTTTTCAATAAGATGATCCAGGATGTTTATTGGTAAGGAGAATGACCTTGTCACTTCCCATATACCTTTGAGAAGCTTTGGTATAGAAACAATGTATTTCCTGGAATGAACTCTTAATTAAAATGTGGACCGCAATGCAAGGTACAGAGTATCATGGAAAAAATCCTGTCCTACCAAAAGTATTGCTTTACTTTGGACTGTCACACTCACTAAATATTTTGTGTTTTTTACATTCTGATTGGAAAAAAGGGGGAAGATCTTTAACCGAACTCTGATTTAAGTTGATACTTTGCATTTAGAGAGCTCTTTCCGTTTCTGTAATGGAAATGAATTTCAAAGATGATTCTTTAATGACAGATTCAATCTTTTATGGTACATTGAATTTCCACAGTTTACAAGAGGAGGGACAGTCATTTTATGAAGCTTAAATCCTTCGTAGACCATTTGACTCAGCAGACTTATTTTAAATAGCTGAGCTAAGGTAACAGACACAGTTTGTAGTGCTGCTGGGGTGGGTAATGGACTTTCTTACAGGGCAAGAATTATTTAAAAATCTCAAAACAAGAGGTGTACAATTCCGTGAATTCTCAATGAAATGCAGTTTAACTTTTAAGGTACAACAATGAGAAGCGTAGTAGAGACAATCTAAGCACTTTAACAGCCTTGTTTAAATAATAGTATGTAATAAGACTGCCCCTTTTCACTTTGACATCAAAAGGAAAAATGTATTCTCTAATATTTTTGCATGCTGTGCCCACACCTTAAGTATAGACATGGTTCAAAGAGCTGCACATAGGCCTCCTCTGTCTGGCTTGCATTAGATATAAATGAAAAAATATATGTAATAAATATATATGATCTTCCAAAAAAGCAGAAATATTGTTGCACACAATATACATGCAAACGTAGATTTAAATAGTGGCTAAATACTGTAAACATGATATCTGTAAAGGAATACACTATCCTAGCGTATGGTGTACAAAGAGGGTAAATTAAAAATATGTATGGGTTGGGAAGAGACATAAGAGACATAAGACACATGGAAGGGGCTGAAGGTAAATGAGGCCCATGGAGGAGTTGGGGGTTTAATGAGACACATGGAGGGGCTGGGGGATTAGTGAGACACATGGAGGGGCTGTGGGAAAAAGACACACACAGAGGGGTTGAAAGAAACACTGAGGGGCACAAAGAGATAAATGCAGAGGAGCTGTGGGGACACATAAAGAGATACACATAGAGATACGCAGAGGGGGGCAAATACACACACAGAGAGGCTGGGGGGCAAACAGACCCACAGGAGGGCTGGGGGGGACAAAGAGACTCACAGAGGGACTGGAGGGGGCACAAAGAGACATACCGATGGGGCTAAGGGTGGACACATAGACACACTAATTGACAGGTGGGACAAAGAGACAAACAGAAAGGCTGGGGACACACAAAGAGGCACACAGAAAGGCTTAGGGGAACAAAGAGGCACGGAGAAGGGCTCAGGGGGACAAAGAGACACACAGAGGGGCTGGGGAATGGGAATAAGAGACACATAAAGGGGTTTGGGAGAAACAGATGCACAAATGGGGCTGGGAGAAGAAACAGACAAAAGGGCTGGGGGGATAAAAAAAAGGATTGCATGAGGAAGAGACACACAGAGGGGAAAGGAGACGCACAAAGGTATTGTGGGAGAAACAGATGTACAATGGGGCTGGTGGAAGAAAGAAGTCTGCCAGCCAGCCACACAATCTGCCAGCTGCAGCCAGCCTGCCAGCCAGTCACAGCATCCTTCCAAGCTGGCATCAGATAGAAAATAAAACGTTTGTTTGCCTAGGGCTGCATAAACAGAAACAAAAGTGGTTTACCTCCTAAATGACAGTGAATTAAGCAGTGAAACCTCAGAGATGATCTATAGACAAAACCTGCGTCATTACGCTAGAGTTGTTTTGGTGACTATAGTGTCTCTTTAAAATTGTATTGGTACCCTGAGTGCCCGTATCAGTATTTTGTTAAACAATATTATAAAGTCCATTTGGTTATGTATGGTGAAACAGGACAGAAAAAGGGCTTTAACGTCTTTAACTTTTTTTCTGCATCTTGAACTTTAAACATTTGAAAAAAAAGGAAAATAAGGGGGGGGAGTGGGGTTGGAGTAATGGTTGAAAAGATGTACTTAGGCTGTGGCCAGTTAATTTGTATAGATGTATTCCAGAGGTCTCCTGCGTTCATCCCTTTACCTATGCTTATGAATTCATCAATATATTTTATTTTATTAAATGTCGGTGATGTGCTTTTTGGGATACAGTGGGACCTCGGTTTGCGAATTTAATGCGTTCTCCGGGACGTTCCTTATTGCGAAACATTTGTAAAGCGAAACGCGGTTTCGCATAGGAATGCAATGAAAACAAATTAATCCGTTCTGGAGGTCAGAAAAAAGTCAAAATAACCAACCCACAATGCAGAGCACACAATAAAAGGCATGCAAACAGCAAAGCTCAGCTCCCTACCTTTCCACAGCTTGAGAAATGCACCAAAAAGTCCCAAAACAACTGCAAACAATTTCCAGAATGGCTCCAAAACTCGATGCAATAGCCACTCCATCACCTCCATACTCGACGCCACGTGCTACCCACAAGCTCCAGCATGCAGGGAAAGGTGCTATAAACCTCCCAGGTGCAATGCATCCTAGGGAAACTTGCTTTGTATTGCTAAAAAAATTTGTAAACCGAGGCATTATTATGAATGGATTTTCATTTGTAAACTGAAAATTATGTTAACCGAGGCGTTTGTAAACCCACTGTTTGCTATCTGCTTGTCAGACACTTTATAATATTCTATTATATACCTCAGGCTTTGTACAATTCACATGCATCATATGAACAAAATGCTGCCAAACACTATACCTTTGGGGCACCTTGCTGTCATTTTTATAATTTAAAAACCTTACCTTTCTGGTAGAGAATCATTATCCACGGTGAAAAATACCCCACTTTTTTAAATGACAAGTGAAGAAAAAAAACATAATTTCTTTCTAAAATTCTAACTTATCTGAGAATTTCAGGCTTGATGAATAAAGTATTTGCATGCACAATTATTTTACTTTATGTCAACGTTTTACCAACATACATTTAGAAAATATTGGATCTAAGCATTTATTTTTGTCCTTAATTTTGCTAAAAATTATACTTTCCGTATTATTTGCTTGTTATCTTTTTGGTGCAGAATGTTTAATAAATACAATATAATTTTAATATGTTTATGTGCTTTCCTTATTACATTATATGGTTTCCTGTTCTACTCTAAGAAGAAAAACACAAACTGCATTAAATCAAACATGAGATCAAATGTACACTGTAGTTGTCATTTTTAATGTCACCTTAGAGATAAAAAAAAAAAAATACAGTCATCCTAAATGTCGTGGTCAGCGACAGGCTGGCTGTGAATCATGAGCTATGTAATTTACAAACACTTTTTTTTCCCCTCATGGAGACACATTATGACCAAAATCTGCTGGCAGATAGTTTTCACTCAAAGAGATC